ATAGCTGAGAAAGAACTTCTAAAATAATCCCAGTCACAATAGCTACAAAAAAATTAAAAGCCTTAGAATAAATTTAACCAAGGGCATCAAGGCTCTCTATGATGAAAATTATAATGCATTAAAGAAAGAAACAGAAGACACCAAAAAATGGAAAAATCTTCCATGTTCATGGGCTGGAAGAATCAATATCATTAAAATATACATACTACTGGGGTTGTCTGAGGAGAGAACTGGTGGACGGAGTACCCCCCTCTCCATCCCCCCTCTGCCTCTGTCTCTCCGTAACTCTGCATTTCAAATAAAATGAAAAAATATTTTTTTCAAAAGAATTCCATACTACTGAAAGCAATTTACAGATTCAATGTGATCTCGATCATAATACCAAGGACATTCTTTTCAGATCTAGAAAAAACAATACTGAAATTCATATGGAAACAGAGGAGACCTTGAATAACTAAAGCAATCTTATACAACAAAAACAAAGCTGAGGCATCAGAATACCAGATTTCAAGACATACTACAGGGCAGTTACAATCAAAATAGTCTGTTACTGGCAAAAAATAGACATGTAGACCAGTGGAACAGAATAGAAACTCCAGAAATCAATCCATACATCTACTACCAACTTACCTTTGACAAAAGAGCTAAAATCAATCCCTGGAACAAGGACAGTCTCTCTAACAAATGGTGCTGGGAAAAGTGGATCTCCAAAGCCAGAAGTATGAAACAAGACCCCTATGTTACACCTTATACAAAAATCCACTCAAAATGGCTCAAAGGCCTAAATTTATGACCCAATACCATCAAATTATTAGAGAACATTGGGTAAACTGTGCAAGACACTAGCATAGGCAAAGACTTCTTGGAAAAGGCCCCAGAAGCACAGGCATCAATGCCAAAATTGACAAATCGGATTATATCAAATTGAAAATTTTCTGGACTGTAAAACACACACTCAGCAAAGCAAAGAGGCAACCAACAGAATGGAAGAAAATATTTGCAAACTAGGCAACTGATATATGATTAATACACAGAATCTTTAAAGAACCCAAGAAACTCAAGAGCAACAAAACAAACAATCCAATTTAAAAATGGGCAAACGATTTTATCAGGCATTTTTCAGAAGAGGCAATTCAAATGGCCAACTAGCACTTGAAAAAATTCTCAGGATCACTAACCATCAGGGAAACGCAATCAAAAGCACAATGAGGTTTCACCTCACCCCAGTTAGAATGGATTTCATACAGAAATCAACAAACAATAAATAATGGTGAGGATGTGGGTGAAAAGATATCCTAATCCACTGTCAGTGGGAATGTAAGCTGGTACATCCACTGTGGAAGACAGTATGGAGATACCTCAGAAATCTGAATATATTGGGGCTGGCACTATGGCAAGGTAGGTTAATCCTCTGTCTGCAGTGCCAGCTCAGCATCCCACGTGGGCATTGGTTCTAGTCCCAGCTGCTCCTCTTCCCATCCAGCTCTCTGCTATGGCTTCGGAAAGTAGCAGAAGATGGACCAAGGGCTTGGGTCCCTGCACCCACATGGGAGATGTGGAAGATCCTGGCTCCTGATGGGCCTAGGTCCAGGAGTTGCGGCCATCTGTGGAGTGAACCAGCAGATGGAAGACCTTTCTCTCTGTCTCTCCCTCTCACTGTCTATAACTCTACCTCTCAAATAAATAATCTTTAAAAAAACCTGAATATAGACCTACCATGACACAGCCATCCCATTCCTGGGAATTTACCATAAGGAAATAAAATCAGCATATGCATACAAATTATATACCTATGTATATTGTAATTCCTCTGAAGGAAATCATGTAGTTCTCAGCCACATTAAAAACACTGATCTATACTGTAAAAGAAGTATTGATGCTGGATCCAGTGTTGCAGCACAGCAAGTTAGGCCACTGGTTAACAATGTCAGCTTCTCCTAAGAGCATGGGTTTGACTCCTGGCTTACTCCACTTCCAGTCCAGCTCCTTGCTAATGTGTCTGGGAAAGCAGTGGAATACGATCCAACTTCTTGGGTCCCTGCACCCATGTAGGAAACATGGATGGAGTTCCTTTTCTCCTGACTTTAACATGGCCCAATCCCAGGTATTGTGGCATCTGGGGAGTAAACCAGTGGACAGAAGATCTTTCTTCTTTTCTCTCTTCACTGTCTTTGAAAATATACCTTTCAAATAGATAAATCTTACAAAAGAAATAAAGAAGGAGAGAGAGAAAGAGAGATGGAAGGAAAGAAGGAAGGGAGGGAGGAAGGAGGGGAGGGAAAGAGAAAAAGGAAGGAAAAAGAAAAGAAAAAAGGAAAGGAAAAAGAAAAGAAAAGAAAAGAAAAGAAAAGAAAAGAAAAGAAAAGAAAAGAAAAGAAAAGAAAAGAGAAGAGAAGAGAAGAGAAAAGAGAAGAGGTTTGAAGGTTTTGCATATGTCATTCACATATATTAGAGGTAGCAAAAAATAGGTATGGAGACTAATTAAAAAACATTGTGGTAGATCTCTTTAATGATGGCTATAAGTTTTTGGAAAATTTGCTAATAGTGGGGATGGAACTGAAAGAATATGGATTCAAGAGATATTTAGGATTTAGATATTTACATTGATAGAAGCTGCTGATGGATTGAACATGGCTGAGACAAATCGGTAGTGTAAAGAAATCTTGGGTTTCTTTCTGATGCTTGAATGGAAGTGCTGAATGAAGAGAGACATAGACAGAGACAGAGATAAAGACAGAGACACAGATACAGATACAGACACAGGCATGGACACAGATTGAAAGAGGGTGGGAGAGAGGGAAAAAGAGAGAGATGGTTTTTGTCTATTTTTTGATGGTGACAGTCAAGAGAGAAGAGCTAAAAAGTTTGGCTTTAGGCAGTGCAAATACAGTGCTTGTCATAAGAACATATAAGATGATTTGTAGATATTTGGATGTATGAATTAGAATATGTTAAAAGCCCCAAATTGAAAATAATTTAAAAAACTATCAAAAAGCATCTATATTGGAAGGAGTGCACTCATAAAATGTCAAACTGTGAAATACTATTTAGACTGAAAAGATAATGACATGAATACATGTAAGGCATTATTAGTGCAATGGAAAATATTTCATTATAGGTGGACTGAAACTTCAGCTTCAGTGTGAACTAAGAACCAGTTCTCTGCCCAGAGTCTTGTTATTCAAGTGATCAGATGTGTTTTACTGTTCCTCTTTTATATACAAATTTCTTGGCCATATGTTAAATTTTAGTCTCCTACTGAAAGCATGAGCTTTTCCCCTCTTTACAGCTGGATAAATCTATAGCTTGGTTCATATTTGAAAGTCTGGACTTTGTCCACAACAAAAGATGTGACACAAAAATATCTTTCATATATGCATCTATATGTTTGATATACAGACATACATGCTCACATATGTATAGGTAAAATATATAGTATATACTGTGAGCTTCCAGTGTCATGATGGCTCTGAAGATGCTCTGAAAGTATGAAATTCTATCCTGATGTGAGATGTTCTTGTAATACTATTTGATTTGTACATACATATACTACAGTGTTTGGGAGGAGGGTAGGAAAAAAGGGGCTTTTAATATGCAAATCTGTAAAATAACTTCCTCAACAGAGCAAGATTTTTATCATTCCACCATGAAGGAGGAGAAATTATTGTGCTTTGCTGCTAATTACCCTAAGGTATTTGACTATTTACAAAGAGTAAGTAAAAGTAAACAAATACTGACATTTCTAATACTGAGCAAATTCCTAATTTCTTGCTTTGTATTAGCAACTTTTTAATGTACCAAGTATCTCCAAAATACCTTAAAATTTGCAGAGTACTTCACATACATGTTTTCATTTGGATTTCATAGTAATAACCACATTATTTTGTTTATTTCAAGAGAAATTATCTTATTTAGAAAGTAGCAGGATTATGACTCAAAACAACTTCTCTGGTTCCCTGTCATATGCTCTTTATTTCCTAAAGATTGCCTTGTAGGTTTTTTTTCTTTTGCTTTTTAATCCTAGAAAGCAATGGGACAGTATTTTTCATTTGTGCATTTATATTATAATAAAAGCCTATGTTCTAGGAATTATATTTTTAGTACTCCTGCCAGTGAATTTTAAAAATATTTATTTTAGATGTGGGAAAAATATAATTTTGCCTCTTAACTTGCTCAGGAAGAGAAAGGGGTCTATGACCGCTGACCCATAGTGACTATATTAATAAGCAGTAGATAGAAAGTGTAAAAGCAATACAGAATCTAAAGTTTTCATCTAAAGTCAGAGCAATTAGAATGATAGTATCTCACACTTACTGAACACTTATTATATGCCTGGCACAATTTAACTCCTTCAATTTTTTGAATTATTTAATTTTCAGGGTAATCAATGAAATAGATATTATTCCTGTCTAAACACAAAACACAAAGAAATGGCCACACAGAAACCATGATTCTTTAGGAGGCAAGGTTCTAATGGGAAAGTTAAACATTCTAGGACTACAAATGTAGAGGAAATAATGATTCAAAGACTGAAAATGGTTTTAAAAGAGGGGAAAAGATTTCTCAGGTTTCACAAATTCTATCCACATATAAAAATTTAGTTATTCCCATTTTATTGGGAATGATTGAAACCGTCCTTACTGTATACTGAATTTTACAAGTAACCTCTATGATTATAGAACTATTTCATTAAAAATGTACAAAATAAATGTCTTCTGCTTCTCAAAATTAGGTGCTTTTCTGAGTATTGCATGAACCCTGTATCTTTACTATATCCACACTGTCAAGCACCCATTTTTTAAAAATAACAATTTGAGAGGTAGGGATGATAATGGGTTTTAGGGTCCAAACAAACTTTCAAACTCACCCAACACCATGAAGTGCTCATATTCTACAAAGGAACACCTTGCAGACATTGTATTATACACACACATGTACACAAGGACACAAAGTCACACACACAATATTTGAAGGAATGTGCCCAAAGTTTCTCTACCTACAATTCTGTTTCTTGCCGAGGATGGAAAGAAAGTTGATGGATCATCAATGAGGAAGAGCTCTTGACGATGTCTGCTGAACTGGGCAGTGAAATATTCAGGATGAGGATACTTCACACTCGCTGGAAGTTTCACAGCCGAAAGCATATAGGTCAATGGAGTGTCCTCATTTCGGGGAACATCACTCTCCTTAATAGGCATTTTGATTCCCAATACTTCAGCATAAGTAACTAATACCTCCCAAGGAGCATGGATCTTGACAAAGTAAGTCCTTCCATCTTCAGAGTCCTGCATTGTAAAAAGAGGAAAAAGAACACAAAGCTTCCTGAAATATTTGTTATTGAGATGATTAAGGAAAAGAAATAAAATTTTACAAAATCTCAAACATGTACAAGTATTTTCAGTTAATTGAAATTTTTTCAGCAAAACTTTTAGGAAACCAAATTCTCAAAACTTATGCTTACATAAACAAGGGCATAGGTACATATAATATATATGTATATGTCTGCATGTGTGTGTGTATGTATGAAGGAGAAACAGAAAGAGACAGAGAGAGAAAGAGAAATTTATGAGACTCCAAGATGGCAGAAGGGAACAATGTGCTCTGCTAGGATAGGGATCAACAGCAAAACAAACAAACAAACAAAAAATAGCGTAGGAAGTGCGCTGTAATGGGAGAATCAGAGAACACAAAAATGGAGTTTCTACAGAGGGAAGAGGAATGCCATGGGCCTATGTGGAAGCTGCAGGCACACAGCATGAAAACGGACACAACACACTAAGCAGCCAAGAGTCAGAGTGGGGTAGCAGCTTGGAGATGGAGGTGAGACCAAACTGTGATAACCTGTACTGATATAGCCAGAAGACGAGCATGGTATGATTCTGGCCTGGAGACCTAAGGTACTTGCAGACCCAGCAGAAGTAAAAGGGGCACATTTATCTTACCCCATCCTCTCTATAAAAGTGGCCAGCACCCAGCTGGAAAAGGGAGGTAACATTTTGGGCTCCAGCAGAAGCCATGGAAGCCTTTGTGTGTATGTATACCAACTGGCTGTGACAGGATACTACTTAAAATTGATCAAAGAACTAAATCTACAACTCAATACAATCAATTCATTAATGAACATTAGAGAAACTCTGCAAGACATTGGGATATGCAAGACTTCTTTGAAATGACCTCACAGCACAGCCAATGAAAGCCAAAATTGACAAATGGGATTCCATCAAGAAGCTTATACAATGCAAAAGGAACACTTGGCAAGGTGAAGAGGCAACCAACAGAATGGGAGGAGATATTTGCAAACTACACAACTAATAAAGGGTTAATATCCAGAATCTATAAGGAGCTCAAGAAATTTAAAACAAAATAAAACAAACAATCCATTTAAGAAATGGGCCAAAGACTTCGATAGGCATTTTTCAACAGAGGAAATTCACATGGCCAATAGACACTTGAGAAAATGCTCAGGATCACTAGCCATTGAGGAAATGCAAATCAAAACCACAATAAGGTTTAGCCTCACTCCAGTTAGAATGGCCATGAAACAGAAATTAACAAATGACAAAAGCTGGTGAGGATGTGGGGAAAAAGATATCTTGGTCCACCATTGGTGGGAATGTAAACTGGTTGTAACCACTGTGAAAGACAGCATGGAGATACCTCAGAAATCTGGAGACTAAGACCTAGTGAATGAGTGGAGCTCATGAACTGAGACTGTGAAAAAAGGAAAAAAAAAATGAGGGTGTGTGAGAGAACTCACAGTGTGGCTGAGATGTGAGTACTCTCAGTGGGAGACGCCACAAACTCGAGCGGCCTTGGCTACTCAGTGAGAGACACTGCAGGAGGATCTGAGCTTACACTGAGGACTGCAGAGATCCTTTGTGTGATCCTTGGTACAGAGCAGACGAATATTATTCCCACTGGGGCTAGTGCTCAGGCACTGATCGCCATTGAGAAGAAGAGCTCAACTGAGTGGAATTACTTCCCTTCTGATTAAAAAGAGAGAGAGAGAGAGAGAGAGAGAGAGAGATTTACCACACCAACCTGGGTATGTCACCTTAAGCACACCCTTAACCCTGAAGAACTGAACACAGCTCTCTGGCCAAACCCACCACAAGTCTCTAGAGAGTCACTGAAAGCAGACAGTCCCCTTTTTATCTTAAGAGTCATAATAAAATGAAAAAAGTAGCCACAGTGGAAAAAAAAGAAAATAACGAGTATCTCCACAAATAGCAAACAACAAATGCAACAACTGAGGGGACAAGAACAAGGAAGACAACATGACGCTCCCAAAAGAACATGATAATTAATACAAGATTATGAAGACAATGAGATAGAAGAAATGAAAGAAATAGAACTCAAAAAAATTTATGATAAGAATATATAGAAGTAATCAAAAACAAATGCATGAGGGCCTGCACCGTGGCTCACTTGGTTAATCCTCTGCCTGTGGTGCCAGCATCACATAAGGGTGCTGGCTTCTAGTCTCTGTTGCTCCTCTTCCATGCCAACTCTCTGCTGTGGCCCTGGAAAGCAGTGGAGGATGGCCCAAGTGCTTAGGTGCCTGCACCTGTGTCGGAGACCAGGAAGAAGTACCTGGCTCCTGACTTCAGATCTGTGTAGCTCTGTTCACGGCAGACATTTGGGGGGTGAACCAATGGAAGGAAGACCTTTCTCTCTGTATCTCTCACTGTCTCATTCTATCTGTCAAATAAATAAATAAATAAAAAGAATCATTAAAAAAACACAAATGCATGAAATACTGAAATCCATGCGGGACATGAAAGAAAATCTCTCTTATGAAAATGAAATCTTAAGGAGGAATCAAAATGGAATGAGGAATTCAATAGAACAAATAAAAAACACAGTTGAGAACCTTAAAAACAGAATCAGTGTGGCAGAAGAGAGAATATCGGACTTAGAAGACAGAACACAGGAAAGCATACAGTCAAACCAAAGAAAAGAAGAGGAAATTAGAAATCTAAAAAATATGGTTGGGAATCTACAGGATACTATTAAAAAACCCAACATTCAGGTTCTAGACATTCCTGAAGGCATGGAGAGAGAGAAAGGAGTAGAAGACCTTTTTAGAGAGATACAAGCAGAAAAATTCCCGTCTTTGGAGAAACAAAAAGACATCCAAGTACAGGGAGCACACAGAACTCCCATTAAACATAACCAGAAGAGATCCTCGCCATGACACATTGTAATCGAACTCAGCAAAATGAAACATAAAGAAAAGATTCTAAAATGTACAAGAGAGAAATTACTCTCAGAGGATCTCCAATGAGACCCACAGCAGACTTCTCATCAAACCCTACGGGACAGGAGGGAATGGTGAGACATAGCCCAAGTACTAAGAGAAAAAAACTGCCAGAATATTATATCCTGCAAAGCTCTCATCTGTGAATGAAAGTGAAATAAAACCTTTCATAGCAAACAGAAATTGAAAGAATTTGTCACTACTCATCCAGCCCTGCAAAAGATGCTTAAAGATGTGTTACACACAGACATGGTCATCATATGAAAGAAGGTAAAGGAAGAAAATCTCTCAGTAAAAGATCACAAGTTCAAAGCATATATTAGAAATACATTTGGAAAACATCATGCTGAGTGAATTGAGCCAGTCCCAAAGGGACAAATATCCTATATTCTCCCTGATCGGCGACTACTAACTGAGCACCAAGGGGGAAACTTGTTGAAATGAAATGGACACTAAGAAAAACAGTGACTTGATCAGCTCTTGTCCTGATGGTTGATGTACACTGTAATACTTTATCCATTTTAGTATTTTTTTTGTTCTAGTACCATTGGTTGAACTCTGTAATTAACACACAATTATTCTTAGGTGTTTAAATTTTAACTGAAAATTGATCCCTGTTAGGAATTTGGAAAACATTATGCTGAGTGAAATAAGCCAGTCCCAAAGGGACAAATACCACTTGTTCTCCTTGATAGGTGACAACTAACTGAGCACCAAAAAGGAACCTGTTAAAGTGAAATGAACACTAGGAGAAACGGTGACTCGATCAGCCCTCACCCTGACTGTTGATGAGCAACTTGATATGTTATCCCTCTTAGTATTTTTTTGTTTGTTCTACTTAATACTTTTGGTTGAATACTGTAATCAATACACAATTCTTCTTAAGTGCTGAAACTTAACTGAAAAGTGATCTCTGTTAAATGTAAGAGTGGGAATAAGAGAGGGAAGAGATGTGCAACTCGGGACATGCTCAAGCTCAAACGGTAGAGTTAGAAAGATACCAGGGGATTCCAATTCAATCCCATCAAGGTGGCATGTACCAATGCCATCTCACTAGTCCCAGTGATCAATTTCTGTTCATAATTGATCATAATGATAGGACTAAGAACCAAAGGGATCACATAAACAAAAATAGTGTCTGCAAATACTAGCTGATAGAATAAAAAAGGGAGAGAATGATCCAACATGGGAAGTGAGATACACAGCAGACCCATAGAATGGCAGATGTCCTAGACAGCACTCTGGCCTCAGAATCAGCCCTTAAGGCATGCAGATCTGGCTGAAATGCCCATGAGAGTATTTCAGGCATGGAAAGCCAAGACACTCTGGGGAAAAAAAAAAAACCTAAATGAAAGATCTTTGCGAGTGAGATCCCAGTGGAAAGAATGGGTCATCAAAGAAGGAGGTACCTTTCTCTGAAGGGAGGATAGAACTTCCACTTTGACCATGGCCTTGTCTAAATATGATCAGAGTCAGTGAACTCAGGGGGCTTCCATAGCCTTGGCAGCTCATGACAAGATCCTAGGGTGATTACTGACACCATAAACAAGAGTGTCAATTTGTTAAGTCAACAACAGGAGTCACTGTGCACTTACTTCCTCATGTAGGATCTTTGTCCTTAATGTGCTGTACATTGAGGTTTAATGCTATAACTAGTACTCAAACAGTATTTTTCACTTTATGTTTCTGTGTGGGAGCAAACTGTTGAATCTTTACTTAATGTATGCTAAACTGATCTTCTGTATATAAAGAGAATTGCAAATGAATCTTGATGTGAATGGAAGGGGAGAGGGAGTGGGAAAGGGGAGGGTTACGGGTTGGAGGGACGTTATGGGGAGGAAGCCATTGTAATCCATAAGCTGTACTTTGGAAATTCATATTCATTAAATAAAAGTTTGAAAGCAAAAAAAAAAAAAAAGAAATACATTTGGAAAAATGGCAAGGAATAGTCACTACTTATCAATAGTCACATTGGATATAAATGGCCTCAACTCTCCAGTTAAAAGACACAGAACACAGACTGGA